CCATCCCCCCAGGGGGTGATTTCTCACTTTCTGTCTCTGTCTGTCTGGCTAGCGCACACGCCCTACAGCAAAAACCTCTCCTCCCCCAGAAAAAGAAAAAAGGCATTATACTTTTTTAGTGTTTTTAAGACAGTTTTGACAATTCATTTCTCATCTTCTAACATCTAGTAAATGAATTTAAATGAATCAGTGTTATCATTTACATTGAGTAAAATGAAGGTGGCATATAAGTAATTATGTATAAAGTTCCTGAAAGGATTAGCTAAATGAAGTTTGCAGATGTAAGCCTTGTGAGCTGTCATTTGACAATATAGGAGACTGTGGAATTGGAGCTGCAAGATCGTTCAGTTGGTGTAAGGATTACATAGAAAGATGAGGCTAACTGGGACTGGTCTTGTAGCCTAGTGGTTGAAGGAGTTGGATCCCACATGGCTAACCTTGGTTTGAATCCCAACTCCATTGGTTTGAAAAACACACAAGGTACATGTGTGTGCATGCCCCCAAATCCCCATAGGCTGGAGAGATAGAGGAGAAGAGATCTCAACATGACCACACCCTATTGGTAGTGTGCCTTCTCCCTGTCTCTGTTTTCCTCTGGAGAATTGTAGCACCCTCTGGCAATTAAAAATAAGAAAGAGAAGGCTAACCACAGGAAATCAGAAAAGGTTAATGAACTAAGAAACAGCATATGAAAATAGACAAGAAAGATTATGACTTTGGAAAGTAGGATTAAACAAAGTTTTGTATGCTTGTTTAGGGCATGTGCACTTGCCAGAGACAGAATGAGAGAAAGAAAGAGAGAAAGGACTCTATGGGAGATGGTCACAACACAGTGTCTTGTCTGCCATTTTCCTCTTGAGATTTTGGGCACACATGCACATGAGCCTGACATGTCCTTCAAGCTTCTAGGTCCAGGACTTGAACTCTTGTAGTCTGCCCTGTGGGATCCAGCTGCCCCAAGTGCCATGCCACCTGACTAGCCTTAACAAAGTTTTAGGTTGTTCCTGAAGTAGATAACTGCCCTAAGTCCGCATTGCTTTCTGAGAGGTTTCTGACTTTCTCCATGCGCTAATATACAGGAAGATTAGACAAGACAGCATTGGCCAGCTGCATTGGTGCAGTGGTAACATGATGCCCTTGGATACTGAGGAGGCTATGTGGAAGGGTATCAGTTTGTTTCTTGATATCTTCTGTATATACCAAGTGCGTGCACATATGTGCCTGTGATTCTGGCCGGCTGACACTGGGCATGAGCTCGCAGCATAGGGACCCAATTAGGGTTCATTTGCCTTTCTTTCTCTCATAGAAGAAATAAACTGTGGGGAGGGGGGGGGGGGTGATGAAAAAAGGAGGAAACAACACTCTAGTGGCAAAGTCACACAAAAGAAAGGAAACTGAATCAAGAGTGGGGAAACCTAGTTTTGGCATTAGCTATCTAACTTCAACAAGTTGCTTAAGACCCAGCAGCTTAAATTTGGATTAACTAGATATTTAATCAACTAAACCACAGCAATTTGTTTTGGTTTTCTGCCACCAATCTTTGGAAAGTCTGGGTTTTAGAATATAAATGGTCTCTTGAGCTAGGAAGTAGCGTGGAGGTTAGGGTGCTGGACCCCACGTGACTGATTTCATGATTCAAGTCACAGGCCCACTGGCTTGAAACTCACGCCAGGTGCATGTGCTTATGTGCCCAAAATTCTAAAAGGAGACTGAAGAGGATAGATTACCACATAATTTCTCATTTTCCCTCCCTCTCTGTCTCTCTTTGGCGAGCCCTATCGGAAAAAAATCAAATACAAAATAACAAAAAAGAAAAAAATGCTTCTTTTTTCAACGGAATGTTCTTGAATATTTTTAACAAATGCAGGTGAAGTCATAAAACCAGTATTCATTTTTAAAGTTTATTTTTTTGCATGATAACAAGCATATGTGCATGAGAAAGAAGTACCTCAGCAAGGTCTTATCATGCTGTAGTCCTTTTCCCCAGTCCTCCAACATGTAAGGATATTGGTCACCTGTCAGTGGACCCTGCGTAGCATGTTCAAACTGAGGGATCTGAACACAGTCAGCCAGGTGGCTTCCAGCACTGCAGTTCAATTTGCTACTGACGGAACTACGAGACTGGGCCTCATATGGTTTTGCATATAGCTCTACTATAATGCACAGTCTTGTAGGAATCTATTCTGAAAGTATTAGAAATAAAGCCATGGAAACTGGTATATTGATTTACAAACTATGGTATTTAATTTGAGAGGCATATGCACAAGTGAAAGTGGTGGAATCTAGAAAGATCAGAATATAGATACCATGCCTTTTTCTTTAAACTCTTCTATCTACATACATTTTTGGTTTTGAGGCTCAGCAATGTTTACTTAGGAAAAAAAAAAAAAGAGTGGAAGGGACTGAGTAGACTTGATTATACTTATGAGTACCTATAAATGCTATATATCATTTTCTTTTAGGAATGTTAGGAAAGTCAAGGTAACCGATTAAAGTTGTGGCAGTGGGTCAATAAAGTTCTCTCTCTTTTTTTTTTTTTTAGGGATTTTTGCTATAGGGCATGTGTGATCGCCAGAAAGACAGAGAGATAGAAAGTGAGAAATCACCCCCCCAGGGGGATTGCCACACTGCAATCCCTCCTCCTCCATTCTCCTCTCGGGATCCCAGGCACGCACGCACACGTGCCCGGCATGAGTTTAAGCCACCAGGGCTGGGACTCAAACCACGGTTGACTACATGGGAGTCCAGCAACAAAGTCATTATGCCAACCACTGGTCCCAAGTTCTTTCTTTCTTTCTTTCTTTTTTTTTTTTTTTTTAAGAGAGTTTTTTGCTATAGAGGCCCTGCATTCGCCAGAGAGGCAGAAAGCAAGAAATCACCTCTCAGAGGGATGGCTACCCTGCAGTCCGTTCTCCTTTCTCATCTTGGGATTTTGGGCACACATGCACACACACTCTGCATAAGTTTAAGCTGCTAGGTCTTGGACTCAAACTATGGCCACCTGCATAGGAGTCCAGAGATGTAATTATTTCGCCATCTGTTGTTCCCAGTAAAGTCTTTTTTAAATCTCAGAACAATAGATTCATGAACTTACACAGTTAGAGAGGACATTAGCGATTACCTAATATTCATTTGATTTATGTATCATCTGTGCTGCTTTTGTGCTACAGTGAGAGTTAGGTAGTTGGCAACAGAGTATATACAGCCCCAAAACCGTAAATTTTTTTTTTGTTTGTTTAAATTGCCAGAGGTTGTGTGTGTGTGCCAGACACAGGGAGGGGGCGGGGAGGAAGCACCCCCCAAGTGGAACACAATCATACTGCAATTCCTTCTCCATTTCTTCATCTCATCAGGATCTTGGGCATACATATACATGTATTCAGCATATTCTCCAAGGTGGGGGAGACAAGATTCAAACCAGAGTCAGCCATGTGGACTCTTCTGGCTACAGGGCCAGCTGTAAAATATTTTCTATCTAGCCCTTCACAGGAAGTTCGCTGACTTTTGAATAGATCAATCTATCATTTCACAAATGTAGATAAAAAGAGTCAGATATTGTAAATGAAGGCCAGCCATAGCTTAGTGATTAAGGCAGCTAGATCTGATGTAGCAACCACAGGGTTTGAGTTACAGCCCCAACGGCTTGAAAAACACTGGGCGCATGTTTATGGATGCCCCAAATCCCAACAGGGTGGAGAATGGAGAAGGGATTGTGGTACTACCATGCCCCATTGTGGGTACTTTCTCCCTCTCTGTTTCTCTGGTGGTACACATACCCCGTGGCAGAGAAGAAAGGGAAATAAAAAGTAGTAAATGAAATGTTCTGAGATTACACAGCTAACTGGTGGTCAAAGTGCAAATACAACTTGGTTCTCCTTTTAATATCTCCATTTTATTATTTTTGTTTGAAGGAGTTATATCTGGATGGGATAAGATAATTTCTGGTACAGAATTTTATTAGCTCATTATATTATAAAACATTGTTGCTAGGGACAGTAGTCCATCAAGTCTTAGATTACATGATGACAAATATCTTTTTTCTTTTTTTTTCAAGGCGTTTATTTTTTAAGGTTTTTGCCATAGGGCATTTGTGTTTGCCAGAGAGAGCGAGAGACAGTGAGAGGGAAAGTGATAAGTAACCCCCCTGCGGGGGCAATGGCCACACCTCAACTCCTTCTCTTCCGTTCTCCTCCTGGGATATTGGGCATGCACACACATGTGCCCAGTGTGATTTTCAAGACACCAGGTCCGGTGGGAACCAGCAGTTAGCGTAATGGCTATGTTGCTGGACTCCCACGTAGTCGACCGCAGTTCGCCTCCCGGACCCGGTGGCTTAAAACTCATGCCGGGCATGTGTGCGTGCGTGCCCAAGATCCCGAGAGGAGAATGGAGGAGAAGGGATTACGGCGTGACCATCCCCGCTGGGGTGTTATTTCGCGCTTTCTGTCCCTATGTCTCTCTCTGTCTGTCTGGTGAGCACACGCGCCCTATAGCAAAAAACCCTCCAAAAAAAAAAAAAGACGCCAGGTCCGGGACTTGAACCACGGTTGGCCACATGGGAATCCAGCACCTTAATCACTACACTACTTGCTGCCCCCCCCTTTCGTTTAAATTACCAGAGGGCACATGCACTTGCCAGAGAGTTGTAGAGATGGGGATAGAAAGTACCACCCAATGAGGCATGATTACCCACAGTTCCTTCTCCTCAATTTCTCCAAACTATCAGGAGTTTGGACATGCATTCACACACACCCAGCATGGTTTTCAAACCACCAGGGCTAGGACTTAAACCACAGTTGGCCACGTGGGACCATGTGGGATCCGCCCCCCACCTTTACCCACTATAGGTCCAGCCCTGGACAAAAAAAAAAAAAAAAACACAACTTTTTAATCTGAGTTGGGTAGACTCTGATTTTAGTATATATAGTTTCCTGAGTATGCATCTTTGGTTGGGTCTGCTCAGCAGTTTGGTAATGAGATTTTTTTTGTTGCCTATGTAGCCAAATGGGCGAACTGTTGAAGTGGCTGAAGATGAAGTTGTCCGAACACCTCGAAGTGTAACAGCAAAGCAGCCACCAGAGACAGACAAGAAAAATGAAAAGGTAAGCTTGGGAACATAAGAAATTACATGTAAGGTTTTTAATAGCGTGACATATAAAAATAATGCTTTTTTCTTTCACAAGAGTTTATATATACTCCCCATTTAAGGAAAACTGAAAATCTAAATGAATCATAGAAGGGTGTTGATATTTAAATAAATTGTTTTCTGTTCTTCTAAGGAAGGATGTATCATCAAATATTTTACACATTGCTGTGGCATTATTAAATACTAATTATTCTCAAAACAATTTATTCATAAATTGAACATCTTTTGTATGAGTAAGGTTCCAGAGATATAACATATCTCTTACTCAAAAACAACATTGTGTTAACCTTGTTAACTACTAGCATAAAAAGCTGAGCAAAATTGTCCAGTGGTTTAAATGTTAAAATAGATTTTTATTGTGATGGAAACAGTTCAACTTTATTTAACCAAAGAAAGTGTTCCATAAGGTTATTTTTTTTTTTAAGTTTTCTTAGAGTTTATTTTTTTCTCCTATAAGAAAGAGACTGAAAGGGGACCAGCAGGTGGCGAGATGGTTAAGGTGCTGGACACTCCCACATGGCCGACCAGGGTTCAAGTCCTGAATCTGGTGGCTTGCTTTCTCAGTTCCTCCATCTCTCACTCACTCTCACCCTCTGTCTCACTCTGGTCAAATTAAAAAATAAATGAATGAATAAATAAATAAATTATTATTAAAAAAAAAATAGAAAAAGAAAGAGACCGAGAGAGAGAGCAGTAAGCACTCCTAAAAGAGCCTTCACACTGCAGTCCACCCCCAGCCAGCCCAGATCGTGTGCATATGTGTGCACTCGACTTGTAGAGGCAGTACCCAGGATGTGAACATGGCTCCTTCCCATGTGGGTCCAGTTGTATTACTGCTTTGCCATTGTCTGGTTCATTATGGAAAGGTATGGATGTCTGTTTTGGTTTGGCTATGAAGTTTTTCAAATATAACAGTCTGTTACGGTCCTTGGTATTAATTTGACTTAAGCTAGTTTATAAGCATGCAAAAAATACTAAGGAACTTTTTTTAAGAATTTCTTTTATTTTATTTATTGTTTTTCTTTAATTTGACCGGAGATAGACGAGAGAAACAGGAAGTGAGAAAGCAGGCCGCCAGATCCGAGACTCAAACTGCAGTTGGCCATATGAGAGTCTAAGCACCTCAACGACCATGCCACTTGCCAGCCCCAAAACAAGGAACTGTAAAAGGTGGTTCCTTCTATGTGTAAGAGAGACTTTTCAGTTGAATTCTTTTCTGTATCCTGAATTACATTCCCCCCTTTTTAATGCTGTGCATGCATAACACCTTTTCAGAAAAAAAAGAAAAAATAAACAATTAGCTAAGTGGTTTTCTAGGAACTAGGGTGAAGCAGCTCCATCCAGTTCCATGAAATAGTTGTTACAGTTTCTTACTCTTCACACTTTCATAATGTCTTTGAAGAAATGATTAAATCAGTTCTCTGTCTGTAACCCAGTGAAAATTCTAAAGCCAAGACAGCTACAGAGAGAATGGCTTGAAATGAATGATAGTTGTGGGAAATAATTAATCTGTTTGACTTTGCTCTTGGCAAAAAAGTAAATAATAAATGCCTTGTGTTAACAAATAAGCATATAATTTAAAGATGATGCATTTACAAAGTGAATAGTTGATAGGCCTAATACAGATTTACATATCTCCCACCTAGTAATACCTTGTTCCTGGGTCTTCTGTTTGTGAGCATTTTATACTACTTTTACTTCTTCTCCCTTAATTATCCCCAAAAATTTGTAGTTGAAAGTACCATTAATCTCTGATTGATTAGTCATGCTTAGATTGGGTGTAATGGTGTAAAAATCACACTTTAAAGTTTATAATCATCATTCTAGGAAATAATTATAATAGTTGACTTTTTAAAAAAAATTATCAACCAACCTGTATACTTGGCAGCAGGGTGGGGGAGGAGAGAGAGAGAGAAAGAGAGAGGCAGAAAGGGAGAAAGCACTTCCCAGTGAGAGCATGGCCACACCACAATTCCTGCTCCGTTTCTCTATCCTGTTGGAGTTTGGGGCATGTTTACATTTGCATCTGGAGTGTTTTACGGGCCACTGGGGCTGGGATTTAAACTGTGTAGTTGGTTATGTGGGATCCAACTCCCTTATCTATTAGGCAGTTCTATGAAATAGTTGTTACAGTTTCTTACTCTTCACACTTTCATAATGTCTTTGAAGAAATGATTAAATCAGTTCTCTTGTTTGTAACCCAGTGAAAATTCTAAAGCCAAGACAGCTACAGAGAGAATGGCTTGAAATGAATGATAGTTGTGGTAAATAATTAATCTGTTAGCTAGCCCTAATTGTTAACATTTATTAAGTATAATATGGCAGACACCATGCAAGGTGAGGTATTATAGGTATTATATCTAGTAGGAACAACTTGTTGAGCACTTACTAGTTATACTTTTAAGACCTTGTAAACATTATTAAAAATAATTTATAGGCAGGCTAGCATGTGGCGTGGTGGTTAAGGCAGTGGTTCCCATGTAGTAAACTGTACAGTTTGAATCCTGGGCCCATCAGCTTGAAGAACACACTGGGCACATGTGCATGGATGCCCCAAATCCCAAGAGAATAAAGGAGAAGGGATTGTGGGGCCAGCAGATGGCGTGGTGGTAAATGCACTAGACTCCCATTGAACATGGCCGACATGGTTCATTTCCTAGACTTGGCAGCTTGCTTTCCTAGTTTGCTCGCTCTCTCTCTCTCTTTCTCTCTCTCTCGAGTGTGTGTGCCCTATAGCAAACTTTTAAAAAGAGAAATAATAATAATAAGTAAAATGAAGTAAATCTATTTTTTAAAAAATGAGAATTGTGGTGTGGTTGTCTCCCTTAGGGATACTTTCTCACTTTCTCTCTCTCTCTCTCTCTCTCTCTCTCTGTGTGTCTCTGTCTCTTCAGCAAGCATACATAACCTGTAACAAATTTTTTTTTCCCTATAGCGAATTTTTTAAAACTTATTTTGAGGGGCCCACAGGTGGCATGATGGTTACAGCGTTGGACTCCCACATAACTGACAACGGTTTGAGTTCTGGACCTGGCAGCTTGCTTTCTCACTTTCCCTCTCGGTCTCTCTCTGGTCAAATTTAAAATAATAATAATAATAAAGTAAAACATATAATTCTTTACAATTTATTTTGAAAAAAATAATAGTAATTTATAGACATTAGAAGGTAGTATTGTAATTCCGAGGAGGTAGTATTGTACCTATACAACAAATGAGAACTCTAAGACCTAACTTACCTCAGTTCAAACCCAGAACCATCTGACTTCAAAGTCTGTACTTTTTACTGCCCTATATTATTGTTTATTTAATTCCAGAAGGTACTGCGTGTGCCAAAGAGGAGGAGGAAGGGAAGGAAAGTGCCACCCTAGTGGCCTAGCAGGGCCCCGTCATCACACCACAATCCCCTTTTCTCCATTCTTCTTTCCTGTCAGGATCCTGGGCAGAGGCACACACATGCTGACCTGTTTTTCAAACCACTGGACCAGGATTCAAACTGCATTTGACCACATGGAATCCAGTTCTCTCCACATAGTGTTTAGTCACTGTGCTAAAGGGCTGGCTCTGCCTATATTGTTTCTAATTCTCTCAAAAACTCTTCCAGGCAGCTATTAATATATCCCCATTTTATGGATAAGGGCTCTAAAGACTGGAGGGATTATGTGATTTTATTAATTTCACACAGTTTTTGAACCAGTATTAGACCCTAGCTTATGTTGACACCCAAAATCCATGATCTTTTTTTAAAGAGAGATTTTTGCTGTAGTACATGCGCACTCACTGGAGAGACAAAGTGAGACAGACAGAAAGCAAGAAATCACTCCCCAGGGGAGATGGCCATGCCACAGTCCCTTCTCCAGTCTCCCCTTGGGGTTTTGGGTACCCAGTGTGAATTTCAAGGCACCAGGTCTGGGACTCAAACCACGGTCAGCCATGTTCAGAGTCCAACAACATAACTGACACAACTGCTGCACTAGTAGCAGTTCTAGTCTGATTCTAATCTATGATTTTTTTTTTTTTTGAGAGTTCTTTTTGCTATAGGGCGCATGCGCTCACCAGAGAGACAGAAAGAAAGAAATCACTCCTTAGAGGGGATGGCCACACCACAATCCCTTATCCTCCATTCTCCTCTCAGGATCTTGGGCACGCACGTACACACACCCGGCGTGAGTTTAAGCCACGGGGTCTGGGACTCGAACCACAGTCGACTACATGGGAGTCCAGTGATGTAGCCATTATGCTAACTGCTGGTCCCATCTATGATCTTTTTTTATCACTTGACACAACTGCCTTTCAACTGCTGTTGGTTTTTTAATACAAAATTTCTAACTTTAGTTTGTGCCCAATTAATTTGATTTTTTAAATAACAGTAAATGCTGAAGCTTTTTTTTATTCCTTTTTCTTTTTTTTAAACTAGGCAAAGAACATTATTAACCTTTGTTTCAAACTTTATTCTCAGACTTCTTCCCCTTTATTAGCTGCAAAGAATAAACTATATATAAGCAGAAACTGAAAAGAGCTGCAGTGTTCAAGAGGCTTGGGCTTAAAAATATTAAAGAGCTAGATTTTATCAGATCCATTAAAAAAATTTTTTTAAAGAAGCCATAATATAAAGTTGCAGTTCCCAGTAACTTCATCAAGTTTTATCCTTTTCAGAAGTTGACTCAGTTCAGTTTGCCTCATTCTTGGAAGCCTCATCAAAATTCTTCACAAGATTTGGTGCTTCATTATATCATCTTCCTCTCCAGTAACAAATAGTGGTTTTTCATCCACAGATTGTTTGGGCACAGCTTCAGCCAGTCTCCTTAGACTAGTCAGATTATCCACCCCAAGCTGGGGCAGATAGCAGTATCTGTCAACTGCTTTGTCTCAGTATGGCCTCTAATGGTGAAAATACTCACCACCAGAGATGCCTGAACTTTAGGGTTGTTAAAGTGGCTAATTGTTCCCTGGTTTGCA